CGATAATCCTCACCTGTGTGGTATAGCTTGAAACAAGGTGTCAAACATAGAGGTTTATTGCAAAATGGGCAGTAGATGCAAGTCTAGCTTCTTTTACCTGCTAACCATTGTGAAAGTGACATTTTTATTGACAGAACATGAGCCTCCGTGCACAGGCAACGAGGGGAAGTTAAAGTTGTTTTAACGTTTAAGAAATATTTCTAAAACTGGTGTGGGCCAGCTAATGTTGTGGGCATAAAATATGCTTGGTAGGCAAAGGCCTAACTCCAAAGTATCAGCATCAAATTCTTGAGGTTGACTCGTAGATCAGATCAGCGTATATACCACAAATTGCAGTAACAAAATTGGTGTGGGGGGGGGGGGGGGGGGGAGGGATTTTTCTAGAGTGATGAATTAGTAGCTTCACATTGTTTCTGCATAGCAACATATTTTAAATTAATTCCACAGATGTACATCCTGACAAGTGCATATATTTAATTCATTCATTGGTTGTGTATTTTTTAAAGGTAAGCATTTATTTAGTCAGTTATGTTTTGAAGTCTTGTGTTATGTTTTATCAATAACAGCGCATAACAAGATATGTAGTTGCTTAATGTAGTGTCCTTTCAAATGTGAAACTAAACAAAGAGAAGAGCTTCTTCTTTTTGTCTTCTTCTGCCTTTTTATCCCCCAATGGAGCATAGGCCCTCAACCAACTCACGCCAAGTCGTTCTATCCTTCGCCATTACATGGAGCTCTCCCCATGTCCTCCCAATCTTTCTAACCTCATTCTCCAGCTCTCTTCTCCATGTGTTTTTTGGCCTTCCTTTATTCCTATGCCCCTGTGGGTTCCAATGCAAAGACATTCTAGTTATGCTGTTCTCCTGTTTTCTCAGTGTGTGCCCTATCCAATGCCAGCGTCTTTTCCTCACCTCCTGATCCACTGGAGCCTGTTTAGTTCTCTCCCAAAGTTCTACATTAGTTATTCTATCATACCATTTTATTCCCTCTATTCTGCTCAGGCACCAGTTAATGAATGTCTGTAATTTATTAGTATTTGCCTTGGTTGTTCTCCATGTTTCCGCCCCATACAATAGTACTGATTTGACATTAGAATTAAAAATTTTTAGTTTAGTATTTCTTTTAATTTCTTTTGACCTCCACAAATTCCCTAGTGCTATGAAAGCCCCTCTTGCCTTTTGTATTCTTATTTTAATATCTCTCAGTTCCTCCATCTTTATCTACATTACTGCCCAAATAGGTGTACGACTCCACGTCTTGGAGTGGGGTGCCATTAAGAGAAATCACATTACTATTTGCCTGATTTATTCTCATTATCTTTGTCTTTCCTTTATGGATTTTCAGACCAAGCTGCTGTGATCTCGCATTAAGTATATTTAATTTATCTTGTATCTGATTCCGTGAATGGGACAGAAGGGCAATATCATCAGCGAAGTCCAGATCATCAAGCTGTTTTGTAGGGGTCCACTGAATTCCATTCTTGGTGTTAGCAGTTACTGTTTTCATAGTCCAGTCTATAGCCAGTAAAAATAGGAGAGGCGACAAAAGACATCCCTGTCCCACACCTGTTTTTATTTCAAATGCATCTGTTAGCTTTCCCTCATGAAGAACTCGACATTTCATGTCTTTATATGTTGCCTTTACTAAGTTGATAATTTTCTGTGGGATTCCATAGTGCCCCATCAATTTCCAGAGAGATTCCCTATCAATGCTGTCAAATGCTTTTTCATAGTCTATAAATCCAATGTAAAGTGGTGAGTTCAGTTCAATGCTTTGCTTTGCTCTATTATAATACGTAATGTGGCTATCTGATCAGTACAGGATCTGTTGGACCGAAAACCTGCCTGCTCATCTCTTAGCATTTTATCAATAGCATCTTTTAATCTTTCCAAAATAATTCTACTTAGTATTTTTCCAGGAACTGACAGCAACATAATTCCTCTATAGTTTTCACACTCCTGTAGATCACCCTTTTTGGGCAGTTTCACAAGATATCCTTCTCTCCAGTCTGCTGGTATTTCTTCGGTCTCCCAGACTTTACTGAATAATCTATGTAGCAATTCTGTTGATGTGTTTATGTTGGTCCTGATGGCTTCAGCTGGGATACCATCTGGGCCTGACGCCTTTCCTTCCTTAAGAAGATTTATAGCTTTTCTAATTTCCTCTTTGGATGGTATCTCACAGTTGATATTCAGTTCCATTTCTTAAGGCTGGATATCTGGGGGAACCTCTGGACCTGGTCTATTTAGAAGCATTTGACTTATCCATGGTTGGTTGGTTTTTGTGGCTATGGTTTTTACAGGATGAGGTAGCCAACCTCACGCCCAACCCTACCCTTAGTCGCCTCTTACGACATGCCTGGTAGTGTGCAGTGTCACTATTCTTTGCTTCCCGTGAGGGCCCCGGTGACACACGGGCGTTCTTATTTTTGTAGGATTACTTTAATCAGGACAGAAGAAATGTGAAATATACTTTATTTGTTGGCTTACCAGATCAAAATGTCTGGTAGCAGAATGAATAATGCATACGCTTGAATCATTATGAGAGCTTTTATCACCAGCAAGCATTAGCAGAAAGAAATTAGGCATATACCGTTGAGATTTTGGTTTCTAGGTTTGCATGACTGAACATTAAACTTGAGAACTTATTGACAGTTGACAAACCATAGGAAAGAAAGAAACATCCTATAAAGTCATACATTTTGAAGAGCAAGTTTTTGGAAAAAATGGTCTTTTAATGGGTTTCGTGGGGAAGGAAGCTTTTAAAAAATTTTTTCAACCTGTCCTTCCACCACACTAGGCCTGGAGGTATGGCAGACAAGACATGTTCAGTATCATATGGCATACACTTTGGAAATAGTTTTCAACATTGTCAATTGCTGTGTGGTCTGTAATATCCTTCCATATAAATCTTTTCCTCTTTGATGTGCTGGATGAGGTGGATATACTAAATGCTATTCCTGTGAGTTCCCCTCGGTTTTGCTCACTTATGCTGATCTTATTTCTTTTAAATACATGCTGGTCAATTGTCATTCTGATAATAATTTGAAAAGTTCTAGCTGGTTTGGGAAGTTTAGTTGCTTGTTACTTAAAACAGTTGACATTTCTCTGAAATTTGAAGCGAAGGGAAAATTCATAGACCTGGCAAATCTGTCTCTTCCTCTTGTATTCATCACTTCTTCCTTAAGAAAAGTAAGCATACATAATCTAGGAATAGGACACCGGTTTGCCAGTGTTGGCACTAGGAACAGGACAACGGTTTGCCAGTGTTGGGATGAGGAACTGGGCACCAGTTTGCCAGTGTTGCGACTAGGAACGGGGCACTGGCTTGCCAGTGTTGGGACCCACCTGTTTAATGTATTCCTAACACATGTTGTTGGAACATGGACTGCACATTTGCAATTGTTGCGTGTTGTACTTCCTGCCTACTCCCAAATGGCCATGATCACCTTTGTGTTCTGCCCTGTGCATTAGCACACAGCAATTACACTCTTATAAAATAATCATACAACTAGATCTTGATGCTACGGGATGACATTTTTAGAAAATATAAAATACCATATTTCAGCCTTCCCACATATCAGTATGTAACATACTTACTGTCCCTTGTTAATTAACCCTCAGCTTTATTATTAGTCATGTTGTTTTGTCTGGTTTTGAATTTCAGTAATCATTCCATTACAAGAGCTAGCACAAAAAAGCAATTGTCAAAAGTGCCTCCTTCAGGTATGCATAACTTATTTTGTCTTTGAAGTGTACACCTTTCATTTTACATCTGTTTGTTTGAAGACTATAAGTGTGGCAAAGTGAGCAGTAAGATACTGATTGATTCAAGTTTTATAAAATGTGGGAAAAAGGTGAGAGAGAGGGGGGGGGGGGGGGGGGATTTTCTGCATCAAAAATCTATTTATACTAAATCTTGCTGTAGTTTTTAAAATGAAATGTTACGTATGTAAACATACATTCATATGAGTACTTTTATATGCATGCATGCACATTCATTTGCACAGTTTTCAGTAAAAAAGACGACTTGGTTTTCCTTAATTTGTTTGATATCAAGGGGTCTTTGAAGTATTGTTAAACTGAAGTTCTTGTAGTCAGTCTGTTAGTGTAATTCTATTTTTTATTGTATGGAACTTGTATTGTTGTATGAATGGAAAGCATGGACTATCAGAAAACTACTTAACAAACATGTAATGGCAATTGAAGTTTGATTGATTTCTGAGAAGAGTACCAAGAAAATCATAGAATGATATGAATGCAGATGGCACCTGTAGAGAAATAGGATGTAGGCAGTTGAGCAATGGTCTAATGTCCATTTGAACATGTTATGATAATGGATAAGCTTGAAAAAATTAAAAAAACAATTAGTGACGTGGCAGACTTTATGGAAATAGGAGAAGGTGAAGCAAACAAAAATAATGTCTATAGACATAACTAGCTGTCGTCAAAAAAAATATTAAATAATAATGAAATAGAAAATGTTGCAAGCTTTGAATATCTGGGCTCCATAGTAAACACCAGTAGAGATTGTTCTGTCATTTAATTCTCATTGCTCACAGAGGCACATAAGGCAGAGGTTGTTCATCAGAAGTCAATAGGGGGATGCCTATAGCAAAGCAAATATTAGACAGCATTAAAAGTGCTTGCTATCAGGGAAGACTGGCCGGGGCCGATCACCATGAAGATTGACACAGGATACGAGACACCTTGAATATGAGAGTGCATGGGACGAGAGACCTGAGTTTCTTTCAGGCAGGCTTTTATTAGGACAGTGTTCTGCAAAAGACCTGCTGCATGATGATATTTTAAACAGATACGTATTTTGAAAATAATAATGCAAGTGATAAAACAAAAACCTACGTTAAAAGAAACTACACAGTAATTACAGGCTTCCTGCAGCTTAAAACCTTCTGTATACATTTCATTCTAGCCATTCTTGTCGGCCAGTCAAACCAATATCTTTGAACAGTTACATGCGAGCTAGTCATCTCAATTAAGATGCAGCACCAAGGTAACATTTCGCTGTATTTTTCAAGTGCGTTGGTAGTTTTTGTCATCATGAAACTTTAATGCCTTCCAGTGACCAGTGCATTTCATTGGCATTGTTTACAGAGTTTGTTAACTAAGAGGTTTTCTCTGGTTTGACTTTACAAGTAATGAGTGCATAAAAGATTATTTTACAGATGGTTAGGAGGTTAAGATTCAAATAACAGTAATAATTAAAGACCAGAGGAATTTACCATGGTATGGTTGAAATATGTAACTAGGAATATAATTTCTGCAATGATGTTTGGAGTGGTCAGTACACTGTATGTATGCTTTTTGCTTATTGATTGATTGTTTTTCTGTTAATTATAATTATCTTTGCATTTCACGTTTGGGCATACATCTTATGTACTTTCTGTTCTCAGTAATGAAACGCAACATGCCTTCAGATTTGGGCTGGGGGAACGGACCAGAAGGAGGTTGCAACCCACAGAATTTCGCTTCAGGCAGTGGATCATGGACATCCACCGCCAGTGAGTTAGAAGTGAAGTTATAAGAGAAAGATGTGGTTGTTAAACAGTCCCTTAGAAAATTGTGACACTTCAAGTGGTATGCTTTGGCATGTTGGAGATCCAATTAATGCACGATTTTATCATCACCGAGTCGGTCACTGGAAAGCATTCTCTTTTAGTTTATTAACTAGTATCGTTAATTTTGGTAAAAATTTAATTTATTTTGTAGCATAACAGATTCTTTTGAAATTCTTAATGTTTAAAATAGGTAATGCTTCTTTTTCTGCCTTTTTTCTCCCAGTGGAGCGTGCACCCTCAGCGGTCACACCATATTGTTCTATATTCTTTGCTGACCCCACATTCTTCCCCCTATTTTTAATTTTACTCTCTAGTTCCCTTTTCCATGTGTTTTTTAGTCTGCCTCTGTTTTTATGACCCTTTGGGTTCCTGTGTAAAGACATTCTAGTTATATTCTCGGGTTTTCTTAACATGTCTTAATTTGTTTAGTTTACTTTGGGTAGCAGTGTTTCTTTTAAAACTATAATATATATATTTTTTAAATTGTAAGATGAGCATATTGTAATTTGTTGAATAGTATTCATGTGCGAAATATTAACCTGTGTTTTCTACACAGACCAAGATTCCGTGAATTCGTCATCTTCTATGTGGCAAGGCATGGGGAAATCTGACAGTGCTTCAGACACAGGAGACGATGCTTCATCTGGCAAATCAGGATCCACCATCTGCAGTGTCAACAATACCACATCCCAATCACAAGATACCTCTAGCATTAGCAGCACAAGCGTGACTCCAACCAGTTCTTCTAGTCTGTGGAATACATCCAGTGCCACACTGTCTGGCTTGGATGCAAGTCCATGGGGAAGCAGCAACTCCCCAGCTCCCTCAGGTGTGGGCCCAGTAGGCTGGTCATCAAATCCATCAAGTCTTTCACTTTCTTCCGGCCAGGGTCACAACAACATGCAAGCTGGATCAAACATTATTGGTGGTTCTGTTGGCTCGGCTAGCTCTTCCACTGGTTGGTCACCCAGTGTATCTGGCAGTGGGCTAACTAACAACCAGGGGCTGTCATCTGGCAGTGGAATGCAGCCTAATACACTCAGCTCTCAATGGCAGAGTGGCAGCACACTGTTAGGAAATATTGGAGACTTTGTTAAGACATCAGATTCAGGATGGACCAACCCTACATCATCTCTTCTTGACAGCAGCAAAGATGGGGCAGGAGGTGTAGCTGATATGAGAATGTGGGGACTTTCAGCCGACAGGTCAGGTGATTCCCAGTGGGCTACAGCTAAAAGCCAGTGGGGCAACGCTGGCTCTGTAGCTGGCAGCGAACATGGAGGCAGCAATGCAGAACTATCTTTTGCTCAGGCTACCCAGAAAGGACTTAAAATTCAGCCACCTGCAAATGGTCCTCAAACTCCATTGACTTCGCGCCAGGAGGAAATTTTACGTGCCATAGAAAGCCACGAAGGTTGGGGATCCCGCCCAATACGTCAAGACACAAGTTGGGATGTAGAAATTTCGCCAAAATCCCTCCGCAAATTTTCGACTGCCAACAATGAAGCTGCAAATGTGTGGAATAACAGCAACGGTACTGCTATTTGGGAAGCTTTTCGTGAAAATCAGCGCAGTAATTTGACTGGCGGAGCACCTGCAGCTAATTCCTACATTGCAGAAAAAGATCAGCCCAATTGGGCGGGTGCTGCTAGGATGCAACAGGATCCCAACACTTGGAACATTGGAAATAATGCAAATGGGAAAGACTTTGGAACCTGGGGAGTTACAGCTGGTGCCGGAGATGCTTCCAATAAAATGTGGGGGCAGAAAACAGAAGTTGGATCTTGGGATGACACCGGTGTGCAGCGCACCACTAGCATGTCATCTTGGGGCGATGATGGAGATGCTGGTTCCTGGGAAGATCAGCGGCGTATGACCAGTGGCATGGGGAACATGCAGGTCATGCCCCCTAGTCCCGGAATGGGAGTTTCAGCAGGCATGGGGCCCCGGAGTGTTGGAGGTGTGGGTATGATAGCAAGTGGTGTTGATGCTACTCCTTGGAATGATGGGCAGAAGCAAGGTTGGAATTCTGCCAATGCAGCAGTGGTTACTCGCACAAATGTGGATGAGCCATGGAATAAGCCACCCCCTACTAGGTCTGGATGGGGGGAGACGGCACATGATGCTACAGACGTTGACAATGGAACTGGCCTGTGGGCATCCAGTGTGCCAAAACAGGTAAGTTAATGTTCTCTTTGTTTTTTAAGCATAATATAAACTTAATAGACATTGAGATTGATTGAAGTGATTGAAAATGGCATAGATGTGGTTCTCCACATTAGCGCTAGTGTTCATCATCCATCAGGTTAGTCCATAGGGTTGTTGATATCATCTCTGCCCACGCTTCTTCCCATATGCATTATTACATTACTTGCCGCTGGTCAGTTCCTTCATTATCTTTTATTCCTTCATGACCAGGTGTGGATGCAGGGAAAGATTAAATGCGAGTTCTGAATGCTTTTTACCTATTCAGAGCGTAGACTGCCTGTAGCGATTTTTATGGGGGCTGATACGATGACTCTATGTGTGACTGCTTGTTCTGGTGCTCTTGCATATGCTCTGAAAGCAGCTGTTATCTGTATGGCCAAGTGTGACATAGTTGCCTGGTAGGCACTCCCTCACCGGGCCTGTCTTGAACTTGACTTGTGCTTCACGGACCTGTCTGTGTAGAAGGGTGTGGAGACCCATCTTATGCTGGTTGGTGGTGCGGTTCCATGATGCCAAACTGTCCAGCGCCTTCTCTCTTGGTCTCACTTAGCTTGTAAATCAAGTTGAAAAAAAAAGTATTTGTATTCAATGATTAACATGTTATGTATCCTATAGCTGATGCCTGGCTCAAATTAATTGTTAATGATACATGTCAGTTCATCTAAGTGTATTCCTCTGTCCCAGGGAAAGGTTCCAAGCTGGACTGACTCTAGTCCTCAGGGACAGTGGAATGCTGCTGTTGGAGCTAAGCCAAAAATACCAGCAGGATGGGATGAAACATCATGGAATCTGGCACAGAGAGCTAAGGTAATTGTTTTGATAACAGATCTGGAAAGTAGAAGTTTCAAGAAAGTAAATTATATATTAGCTGTTATTGTGTGGTTATGTTGTGTACAATTGTTTATGCTATGGCTTTAATTTTGTGGAAAATGTGGATTTAGTGCCATTAGATAAAGTGCAATCATAATTGCACAGCATATGTTGTGAATACACAGTGGTGTCATTTTGTAGGGTAATTTTATATTTTTGTTTGAACAAACAGAAAAGAAAAACCCAGTAGATTGCACAGTTTATTGCCTGGTATATCTCATCAGGTGCTTAGTATAGTAACAGTTGGTTTCTACGCCCCCCCCCCCCTCTGGGGGTGGGGGGGGGTACGTACCAGGCTTCACTCAGGGAACTTTATGAAGCGAACGTAGCCGCCAGTAGAGGGGAATCAGTAATACACAGCATTGTTGAGTAAACCATGTGAAACGCTGTTTGCTGCACTTAGCACATCTATGAAATGTCCGTGTACATACATTGGGCAGCATTGTTTCTTGTAGATGCAGAGTTCATGTGCATGTAGTAGAAGGTTTGTTGGAAATAACAGCCTCCAGGATGTCAGGTTTCTGCCTGTTACACTGGTAGTGAATTGGATACTTAGCACTATCAGTTACAGAAATACGCGTGCTTTAGTACATTGTGTAGTTAACATTTCGTTGGGTGCTAAACGAGCTGATTGCAGAAGAAGCTGTCCAGGGTAAATTTGGTACAGAGCGAACCACAACAGATGTTTATATTATACTAGAAGGGATGAGCACCACCAAGTGTTGTTGATGTCAGTCATGGAAAACTCTCATTTATTACTAGTTTGTGGGTTAATTTGGTTTGGGGAAAAAAATCCATTCTAACTTCTTTGGTAGCATTATCTTTATAAATGGCCATCATACATAATATTTTAGTAATTTCTCATGATCTTGAAACAGCAGCAAAAACAATAGTAGTGGTAATTACCCCCCCCCCCCCCCCCCCCCACACACACACACACACACAAACTGACCCACCAAAATGCAGCATCAAAGTTAGTGTGATAATCCCCAAGCAAGTTGAAATTGTAAGTTCTTGTATGCCCGGATAACAGCATATGGAAGGCATATTGACGTAGTTAAATGTAGAATTGCTCAAGCAAAGGTACCATTTTACAAAGTTAAGAATATTCTATGAAATCTTTCTTTGTCGGTTCAGAAAGAGAATTCCCAGGGTTGTATACATCCTGTCCTGGTACACGGAAGTGAATCATAGACAGTTAAACAATTAGTGAACATTATTTGGATGCGAAGGAGTTGGGATTTTATAAACAAATTATAAGAATACCCTGGACAGATAAAAAAGAGTAATGAAGATACTTTGAAAGAAACTGACCAACAGAGAGAACTGATTGGCCACATCAGGAGCGGGCAGTCTACATTGTTTGGTCATGTCATGAGAAGAGAACTGGAGCACATGGTAATGGTGGAAAAGAAAAGTTTGAGGGCAAGACAGGCAGAGGGAGACCCAGAGAGAAGATGCTAAACAGTTCGACACCGTGGCCTTGGAGATCATCTGTGTGGGAACTTATTAAAACTACACAAGCCAGAAGGTTCAGGGTAGAAATTATTACCACTCATCTGTGTGAGAACTTATTTAAACTACACAAACCAGAAGGTTCTGGGTAGAAATGACTACCACTGCCACATAGCATAAAAAATAGCAGAAGATATTTCATGCTGTATTGAATTCATCAAGCATGATAAATTTAAGCACATATACACACACACACATATGCAGAGAGTTAATGTTTTTGGTCATCTTTAAAATGCGATTTTTTTGGTGTGGAGTGTAGATTTCTATTTGGTCGATATGCTAGATGATTTTGCTCAATATTAATACTGTAGATAAAAACATTCACATATATGAATAATTAATATAACAAATTTCCTGCCTTAGTATTTTATTGCATATTTTTTTTCAGCATTAGTGTGACTTTATGATTTTTTTTTCCTCAAACATACACACACTTTAAAAGGGTTAACAAGGTATTTTTCCCAGTATTTGGTGAGGTTTCATTTTCCATTGTTGTTCTCCTGTAAAAAAAAAAATTTTTCATCGTAAGAAAAATATGATGTGAATATTTGAATGGAACTACTCTTACAGTTAGGAGGATACCAAGATGACGTTTCTGCCGGACCCTTGGATGCTGGACTGTGGAACAGTCTGCCCCAAGATAATAATTCATGGAGCGACCCGGCTGCCTTGAGAGGTGTAAGGAAGATCACCGGACAGGTCTGTGGACACCGTAACAATGTTTTTTACAAGCTGGATATTCTGAAATGTGATGGGTGGGCAGATAACTATGTATGTGGGTACTATACCATGTTAATGCGGTTTACTGAACACAAATAGGATGAACTTCAAAGATCGCAAACAACAGAATATATATATGGAAATGAATAACTTTCAGTTTAAAATAGTGTAAAATATTTTTTTTTTTAATTTCTGCAGCATGACATAGGTCATTTTAAAAGTTAAAATAAAGTTTATATCTTAACATTATTCGTTACAAACATTTGACTTTGAAGATTATGTCTATATATATATATATATATATATATATATATATATATATATATATATATATATATATATATATATATATATATATATATATATATATATATACTATTTGTAAAATGAGACATACATTTTCTTCTCTTTAATTTTCAACAGATGCCACAAAAGTTTGTCAGCAATGGCAGTAATCCACCTACACAGATGAGAGCAAAGCTTCTTCAGCACCTTCTGGATATGGGATTTCCGGTAGGGAGTCTTGCTTTCTGTCTGTCAGGGTTCTTGGTTAAGCCAACTGTTTTTTGATTTCCTTTGGGCTACTGGGTTTAGACACAAGTAGAGGAGCAAAGAGGAGAGTTAAAAATGAACAATTAATAATGATTAAAGATTTGGTAGAGAGATTAAGAGCAAAATAGCCAAAATCTAAATTGTTTATTAAAAACCTATTGTGCTGTCTGTCAGAAAGTCTTGCAGTATAAAGGGCTTGGATGATGTGGTTTTTAAGATGAATATTGAAACTAATTATTGACTTAAAAAATAAAATCTGAGTAGGATATAATACATGGAACCATGTGTTTTTTATTTATGTGATAAGAAAATGGGAGTTGTAGAACATTGTGATTGAAATACAGTAGAAGAGGCAGATGAGATATGATGCCCAGTGATCTAAGAGGAAGGGATAGACACATAAATTGATCCAGAACAGGAGCACCAGGATCTATTAAGCGACATGATTACTAATGCTGTCAGGCAAGATACATAACAATGATTTGATTAAAAGAAACTGAACAATCCTGGCTACTGAATATAATTTAGAAGACAAAGGAAAGTGCTGCTTCTATGTATGTGAGCTATAAAAAAAATCAGGCATTTTTCCGAATACCGGTCCCAAATTATCCACAGAAAAAAAAATCCCATTCAGGGCCCCAAGAGAACTCTGCTTCGCGTTATTTTATAAATGTATTTGAGCCAGACTCTCGTATCTTTGGTAGTACAGTTGTAAGTAGTCTGCCTGTCATGCGGGTGACCGGTGTTTGATTTCCCGCAGAGTGATAATTTTGTTTTGAGTCATTAAAAGGGCGGTTGGCACATTGTGTTGTGGTTTACAGCTAGGCTGTGATATCTGTACCTTTTTCCCCCAACACATTCAATTTCAGCTGTCCCAATTAGTGGCCTTTTACAACATGCCTTTTAGGTGGCAGTGGATCTAAGGTATTTTTTTCCCCTCACTCATGTGGCCCTGGTACCTACATGGGGATTTATGGGTAATGTTAACAGTGGATCAAAATATATTCCTCCCGACACCGCTTCAATGGATCCAAAACTATTCCTTCCCAGGGCGCTTAGCTTAAGCTCTAAACATTGCTATCAATCAAGCGATTACGCAGAAGTGAAAACTGGTCATGATGACCTTAACGTTTTTACTGCATAACCTTTTGAGGCTCTCAAAGGGATCTTTCTCGCATTGAATATTTTGGGACTGGTATTCGGAAGAGTGTAAAAAATCCGGAATACAGAATACCAATAGGTTATCAGTCAAGGTTCCAGCTTCATCGCAAGTGGGTAACTCCATAGTTGCTCTATTCCTATGTTAGTGAAAACCACAAAAATCAATCCATTCCAGTCCCTTGTGAAAAGTCAGGTAGCAGTCCTAGAAAAATCCAGCAGCTGTTACGCGCATCACATTTATAAGGCTGCCAGCCCGGGTGTCTTTAGAATTGCTGTTCATAGTTGATGAAAGCGGCAGTCATGACAAAACATCAGGTGCACACAATGACAGTTCTGTGGGAACCAGCCGATTGCAATTTTCTAAACACAGATGAAACGAAAAGAATAACCAATAAATTCAAAGCTCAGTGTCAAATCACTCACTCAGCTCAATATCTGGCCGATGGAAGCTAATTTCATCTTTACTTCATTTGTTGTGTCATTCTGGGGTTTGAAACCCCAATCTTTCACCCAATTACCGCTGAGAAGAGTTACAGCACATAATGGTTAGGAGAGAGGCGTTAATAATGTTGTATTGCACATCATTGCTCCATTTCTACCACACAAAATAATAAAATAGTGGACATTCAAGAAAAAATGTTCATTCTGAGGTTGGATAGGATGTGATGAACTTCAGAAAATAGATACTGAATAAAGAAATAACACTTACTGATAGTTTGTTCTGTTGTATTTTCAGAAGGAGCAAGCACAGGCTGCTCTTATCACAAACAATCTGAATCTCGTTGGGGCCATAAGTAAGTGTTCACTTTTTAAAAAAACGTGATTATTTTACGATATGTTTGTATGTTCACTTTTATTGGTTACTTCAAAGTGCTGGTTGAAACTTGATGCTTGTTAAACTTTACCTGATCAGTAATTTTAGATTTTGTTGATAGTGAGGAAATTGTTTTTGTTAACATGAAAGAACAGTGTTATTCTTGACTAGATTGAAGATATCCAGATCTTTATTATGCTGGGCCACTAGGGAATTTGTGGAGGTCAAAACAAATTAAAAGAAATACTAAACTAAATTGCTTTTTAATTCTAATGTCAAATTAGTACTTTTGTATGGGGCGGAACAATGGAGAACAACTAAGGCAATTACTATAAACTACAAACATTCCTTAACTGGTGCCTGCGCAGAATAGAAGGAATTAAATGGTATGATAGAATAACTAATGTAGAGCTTTGGGAGAGAACTAAACAGGCTCCAGTGGAGAAAGAGGTGAGGAAAAGACGCTGGTGTTGGATAGGACACACACTGAGAAAACAGGAGAACAGGAAAACTAGAATGTCTTTGCATTGGAACCCACAGGGGCCTAGTAGGAATAATGGAAAGCCAAAAAACACATGGAGAAGAGAGCTGGAGAACGAAGTTAGAAAGATGGGGAGGACATGGGAAGAGCTCCATGCACTGGCGAAGGATAGAACGACTTGGTATGAGTTGGTTGAGGGCCTATGTTCCATTGGGGGACAGAAAAGCAGAAGAGAGAGAGATTATGCTGGGCTCTCATGCAGTAGACATTTAATGGACATTTCTTTTCTGTTCAGGCAAAAATAAAAATTCTCATATTTTCAGTTCATAACAGGAGCTGCCGTTGTGTAACAGCTAGACACTCGCCTGTCGATTGGAAGGTCATGGGTAAATCCTTGAGTTGGTACCATGTTTAGTCCTGGGAAGCAAAAGCGACCAGTGTGATGTTGACCACATCATCCACGGAGTGCTGGTTAATCTATAAAAAAAAATATAGGTCTAGCCCTATATGTATAAAAAGTGGTAAATACATGCAGTAATCTTCTTCTTCTTCGCGTTCACCAGCTGTACACTTTGGCGTAAAGTTCTGGTTGTTCTTCCACTTCTGGACTGCAGTCCTGCTCCAGAACCTGAGTGTTGCTTGTGTATCAGTTTTACAGATCTGATTCAGTTGAATGCAGACTGCTGGTTCCTTGCCTCTCAGGCAGATGCACTCCGACTTCAAAGGAAGCTCCTCAGTCAGTCGACTTTTACGATATGCTTTTGGGGAGGCAGTGGGTCAATTCTTGTTTTCCCTATAATAAGGCCCCGGAACCCACATAGGGAACATGCAGTGGTGATGGGGGGGGGGGGGGGGAGGAGGAGGAGTCCTTTGGTAGAAATAATTGCTTTAGGAAATAAAACACATTTGTAGTCTAGTTATTTGTGTGTCCCGTATTGTAGTCTGGGCTTTATTCTTCATTAGATTAATTATTGCTGTTGTCATCCTCAGATGATCTGAAAGCTGGTAATGTTAATGTGTCCAGAAAAGATCTTGATATGGATGTTTTTCAACCAAATGGATCTCAGTCACACATGCCTTATATGTCCAAAGGAGGAATCGGGAGTGACAATATGTCTGATGTCCGCCTTGATCAAGTGCCTAATTTTAATAACATGCAGAATACTCCCTTTCCTAATGCTCAAATATCAAATCAGTCATTTGTGCAAAGCAATGCTAGTCTGCCTCCATCTAGTCTCAACCTCAATAATTCCAGTATTACTCCAAATCTTCAACAAAAACTAATGCAGAAGATTCAGCAACAGCAACCGCCTCCATCCGCAGCACTGAGCCAGAGAGCAATGCCCGCTGCCAGCAGCCAAGTGCCACCGCAGCAGCAACAGCAGATTCTAGCCCAGCTGCGCCAGGCCGTCAGCAATGGGTTTATATCACCACAACTGATCAACTACCAGCTACCCCACAATATACTTGTCCTGCTGCAGCAGTTACTGCAGCTTCAGTCCGCCCTTCAGAATGTGATGAGTAAGCAGCAGCAGCTGATACAGCAGGCTCGGGCTACAGGCAACCCCAGTAACCCACAGCTGGAACAGATGTCCGGAATCATCAACAACATCAACCAGCAGATCATCAATGTGCAGAAGCAGCTGCAGCAAGCACAGAATGCTCTGTTCAGTAGCCAGAAGCCACCAGTTGCCAGTCAGCCTCCTTCAAACACACTCACTGCTCAGTCAGGAGTTAACATAATGGATAGCTTGGATGCCCTAAGTAATGATTTGGCAATTGTGGCCCTTCAGAATCAGTCACGCTTGTCCACTCAGTGGAAATCAGATATGTCATCTAGTGCTCGTGCTGATGGCACAAACAGCTCCACATTACCAATGGGGGCTGCAGTTAAAACCACAGATAACAGTGGAGACAACAAAATACCTGGGGTTAAAGGAACGCTCCAGTCTTCATCCTCATCAAACCTGAACCTGATCCCAGGTGGTTTGGGAATGACAGGCGATAAAACATGGTCATCAAACCTGTCAGCTACTTCTACTTCAAGCTGGCCCTTATCCACCGACAGTCTAAGCACCAACTCTCAAACTGACCAGAAAGCATCCAACTCTACCAATATGTCTACCTCTCTTTTGTCAAGCTTGTCTTCAGGGGTTGCAGATGTCATTCCAGAGTTCATTCCGGGTAAACCCTGGCAGGGGTTCACCAAAAATGTGGAAGATGACCTGCACGTGACCCCTGCCAGTATCCAGTTTCAGCGCTCACTTAGTGTCAACAGGGTACATGAGGAGTCTCTCAACCATCTAGATGGTAACAAGTTCAGTGGCAGCTCATGGAGCACAGGTCTCAAGAATGACAACAGTCTTGGCTTGAGTCAGCTGGGTAGCCATCCTCCCCCTGCTATGGCAGCATCCAAGGGCATGGGTGGACAACAGTGGTCAACTGGTGGCTTTAATCGACAGACCTCATGGCCTCATTCTGGCACTTCAGCATTTACTAAAGGTGAGTATTGTTACTGTTAGAGGTATACTACACATAAATTGAGAGTTAGTGTTCTGCTGAAGGGAAATGTGATTACTTTATTTATGGGGTCATCAAAATAGTTGTTATTCCTAGTTGAATGAGCAAAATTTGTTATCAGATTGCTCAATACATTCAATGATTACAGACATTACCAGATTATTATGGGCAGTACATTGATCGGTAATGGATTTCACTACTTTTAATTTGTTTATAATGTTGCTACATTTTCATAGTTAAGAAAATATTGCTAGCCTATTTAATGTTTTTATTGTGACCATCTATTTCTACATTAATCCTTACAATAAGACTGCTTGTGACCCAAAAAACTAACAGTGAAGGCTAACCCGGATAACAAATGCCTGCAGAAATTGGATGTGTGTCTAAAGGCGCAAATATCCCAGCCATGTTTTAAACAGGCACAATGCATTTATGTCTTAAAATGGATGCAGAAGGAGAAGATTTCTTGATTGGAATGATACCGTCTTTTTTTCTTAGTCGCAGTGTTTCTTCTCTTCGATAATATAATGTAACTTTTTTCTTCTTCAGTGGCTGGGCCAGGCTGGAATGAAAGCAATGTTGCTCCTAGCTCATGGTTGTTGCTGAAGAATCTAACCGTAAGTAAATTTTTATGTTTATGATGAACATATTTTGATGTACTCTAATATAGTACACACATTTTATGTAGGAGACCTGATATATTACGGCTACTATAGATATATCAGGTGAAATTGCAGGTTTTTCTGCAAAGAAAAATGTCAGAATTGTCAGGCACTGATATTTATGGAACATATTTTCCGTGAGGAGTGATGTAGCAACAGTATACTCGCCTGCCAGCCAAAGGTCGGGGGGTTCAGACCTAGGTGGATTTATTGTGTTCTCACAGGGTACTAGTGTCAACACACCCTAATAATTTGACAGCAGACATCGTTCTCGGTAGGACCAAGCAGCCAACCAGCTTGGCAGTCAACAAAAATTTTTTTTCTGTAATGCCTCTTGCTAAAGAAAAATAAAAGCCTTGGAGAATTTTTACAGTATGGATATTAGCATTTTCATTATGGCATTGAAATGTACTTTTGCAGCTGAAGAAAATGTGCATGTGCTGTTGGCAGCGATTTTTAAAGCTGAAGGAAATATCCTGTGTGTGCTTTTGAATGTGCTTTCACAACTGAAGGCGGTGGCATATGGTACTAGGTACCCATTTTGTTAGTCCAATCAACATTCATTGGGTGATGGGGTCAGCATCACACGGCTGCCTTTACTTTCCAGGGCATTTCCTGTTACTCTTTAGGCTGGGAACTGAGTCACATTTTAAAGTTTGCCTTAATATGGATTCGAACCAGTAACTTTCATGCTGTCACTTGAGAATCTACTGGCAGTGCTACTAAGACTCACTTTCTCTCACCTGTATGTATGTATATATGTGTGAGTGGGTGGGTTATTATGCCATCCGTGCTTCTGTGTTTTTGCTTGATATTCATAATATGCATATTATTGTAGGAATATAACAAGCTTTATTGATACAATATAGATGCTGTGTGAAAGATGGGTTTGGAAAGGCCGACTATAAACAGGCATGCAAGCCCAATTTGTGACTTTGACAATAATAAATTTAGTTGATTTTCAGTAAGACATAGTTATAAAACAGAATATAGTGCCACGCTGGTCACATCCTGAGAAGAAACCAGCTGATTATCTCCAGACAGGCATTAAAATGGAATTAAGGAGACCAGGGACCTCCAAAAGAAACCCTAAGGTGAACATTGATGAGAGAGGTCAAAGCTGCTGGACTGAATTCCTTTCATGATATTGAACTGGTTGCCTCGGATAGAACAGATTAGAGGAATAGACTGTGAGCCCTATGTGACACATAATGACAGAACAGGATAATAAATAAAGACATTAGATAGTGCTTTCAGAATTAAAAACAGTGGTGAAAATATGGGGGTGACTGCAGCCGAGCTAATGCAGGGAATTACAGGGAAATTTGACTAAAAAGCTTAACCAAATGGGGAAGCAGAAAAACTGCACAAAACTACACTAATTACGTAACGTTTCGGCCGGACAGCCTTTGTCTAACATGAAGTGAACTACACCTACTGCTTCCTCATTTGGTTAAGCTTTTTAGTCAAATTTCCCTAAAATTTCAGAAATAAGTGAAAATCTTCTGTGTTGCAGTGAAATGTTTTTTGGACTTAGGAAGTCTTTATGTAAGTTTTGTATAACGATTGGTATAAATTAGTTCATTTCCTTATACATGTTGTCATCTGTTGTCTCTTAATGTTTGTATTCCGAATTATTGAGGGCTAATTTTTGGACTTGTTTCCTGTACATCAGTAAATGTTGGAACTTGTTAGAAGATAGTTAAAATATGTTTTTATTTAAAATTATGTACAAGTAAGAATAAAACTTACGTGTCTGTATTTTTATAACATGATTGATTATTTGGCAGGTGGATGGCAGCACAGTCCGTGCTCTCAGTGCTCAACATGGAACCCTGGTCAGTTTCTACCCATTGGCACAAGGTCAGTTTGCACTGGTTCAGTATGCTAACAGGGAGATGGCTTTTGTGGCCCAGCAGCGCTTAAACAATTTCCAGATGGGCTCCACAGTAATCACTGCAGAATTCATCAGTGAAGCGGATGCTCAACGAGTTGCCGCACAGATTCCACCGCCACCACCACCACCGCAAGCAAGTTCTATTCCCCCCGTGAATAACAGTCTCTGGTCTCAGGCCCCGCCTTCCACACCATTTCAGAATGCGGGCATGCGCAGTGGTGACCCCTGGAGCACCTCCACATCCCATCACAGCTCAAAGTATGGGAGCGGGGGAGACAACTACTGGGGTCTTTGGGATAGACCTGAGCACAATCCAAACCCACTCAGCAACATCCTTGGAGGAGAATCAATGTAAATACACACAAAGCACTTTAACAGGCGATGTTTACCTGCCACTTCTTGAAACCATTGATATGTAGTATTCAGTATTTATATTGTGCATCAATATTTATTTCACAGTTTCTAAGAGAAATGCTGATGTATCAAATGCCTCTTTATTGTGTGTGCAGTGACATATATTTTAATATTTTTGCCACAAACTCATCCGATCTCTTGAAAAATATGTCAGCCACTACGGGTTAGCTAATTAAGATGGATTCCATATAATAATGTCCATTTGATTATTCATTGTGTTCCACTGACCCCCAGTTACACTTTTTAAATAAGCTTCCGTACCAGAGTAAATTACATGCAAAATTTTTATGGTGCTCGCCTTGGAGAGCCCAAAAATGTCACATTCTATTTCCCTCCGTTTATAAAATGTGTTTTCTGTGTGCTATTGGATATTATGTTGAGACTGGTTTGTAAAGTGTGTACTTAGTGACAGACAGCCGAGTCTTTCAGAATACCTGTGGTCTTGTGTCGTGTGTATGTTGGGAGATGACCACTCTTACATGTAATTGTTCTCAGCGCCTGTTGTTTTCCACTCTTCCTCTCAATCAAGAATACCACACTGTTGGTGTTACTGTTTCAATGTCTTGTATTTTACTTAAATGTTGCTAATTTCACAATTGCATGTCCGATAAATGAATGCTTTGTCTTTTTTAATGAGATTTAAGTGTTACAGTTCTCTTCATAAGCATTACCAATAAACAACAGTCTATTATTACAGTGGCAAACCTGCCACTTGTAACAATGATTATGTACAGTAATTTCATGTCTTGCAGTATGTGCATTATTTCATATGACAAATTAAAACAAAAATTGAAAAAAAAAAAAAAATTTTTTTTTGCCTACAACTTTTTGGTTGCAATCTTTGATTTCCTATATCTTCCGGATCGGGAGGGGGAAATATGGAGGCACCCCGTCTACAACCTGTGATACATTTACACTTACATGCCTGATGTAAGTGCCATGTGAATACATGCTCTCCTATGTAAGTGTGCCATGCGGGCATGCAGTCTCTCCTACTTCCATGATAGTTGCCACACATGAGTGTAGTCACCTGCTCTCTCCGGTAGAACACATTTATGCAACAAGCTGTTGTCTTTGTTATATCCATTGTGACCTGATCTAGGTTTTACTGCTGCATTGGATGTGTCAGATATAGTGGTCAGCGTTAATTTTAGCAGAGCTTTCATATTTCATATCGGAAGAGAGTTTCCGTCAAAATCTGGTGCCAGTTGTTGTTGTCAGATTTTAAATTATAAATCCTGCATATTTTGTATTAACAGTTCCAAACGCCACAGTTGAATGTTCACACGTAACTGTTCTAAATTTCAGTGATATATGCCTGTATCTCTCCCGCTCTGTTGGTCATATCATAAAACGTATTATCCTGTTGTCCCGATTGCCATATTACATTTGATATCGTTAATGCTATATACAATTCATACTAATCAAATTTTTTTCTAAACACCATTTCCCCCCTTCAGATTGAATGTTTATTAATATTGCAAACTGCCTGTTAATATGTTCTCTTTATATCTATACAATGTTTCTTAGACACAGATCACTAAATTTGTGAGCGCTAATTTATGGCAGTGTACATTACTTGTTGATAATGCCTTTTCCTGAGATTGTTGCCACCTTTACAATGACCTGTCCTCAATTATTACTGTATATTCCAAAGAAGACATGTCAACTGTTTATGTTATTGTACTGCTACAAGTATTTATTTGTTCGTGCACTACTGTTTTGCCCTCTGGAGAGCTCGGTGATCAATCCGTGCAGTGTTCTTTTTAGTATTATTAATATAACCATTGAAATAGTTTATTAGTGAACACATTTTTTATTCTTTTGATGATCATTTAAGTCAATTTGTCAGTCATCCTCCAGCATATTTTTGTTTATTTATTGGGTCTCAGTGCAAAACAAAGCAAAATAAAAACAAAGAAAAAGTATTAAAAACTGAATTTCTGAGCTGTTGTTAATCAAGCATTGGGTTGTTTCGAGCCTGCATTCTATTACCCTGTTAGCAGAGCTGTATAAAACTATAATTGGATACATATTAAACCCCTCAGTTAAGACAATCATACTTACTTATATTCTAATTTTCTGGCATGAATTAAAATTGTAGTTCCCTGTAATAGTGTATATGGTTAAAGATCGACCTGAGAACCAGGGTAATTGGGGGGGGGGGGGGGGGGGGGGAGGATCTGTATGCAGAATCAAGCACGAAACTGTCAGGGGGAGCTGCCTGCTACTGTGGCTCCCATAATGATATATGTTTTGTAATGTATGCAGCAGTTTGTGACAACAGGCCACACTTGAATTTAGGGCTGAAAGAGTGTTGGTGACAGAAATAAAAACCAGAAGACACAATTTTCCCCATATAATAATGTTTTAGTGACATAAATAAAAAAGGTTGCCTTTAGTACTGAATGTAGCACACAAGCTTATTAATAGCATATTTCGGTATAAATCCTCTGTTGGGGGGGGGTTGTTTCCGGTGATCATCATAAAAAGTCTTTTTACAGTAAATGATGCCATGAAAAGTCATTCAGTACCGGTGGGAGGATTAAAAAAAAAACCAACAAACGCATGATGAGACACTTGGTACTCGCTGTCAGCGGAACAGTATTGGTGTTAAAATGAATACCGCAAAACCACACAGTCACTCAGAGGGCTACCTGCCATGTGTGCCAGTGAAACAGATTGGGTATCTTGTACTACTGATGCCCCTTCTCACAAGTTTCTGTGTGCCAGTGAAACAGATAGGGTATCTTGTACTACTGACGCCCCTTCTCACAAGTTTCTGTGTGCCAGTGAAACAGATTGGGTATCTTGTACTACTGATGCCCCTTCTCACAAGTTTCTGTGTGCCAGTGAAACAGATAGGGTATCTTGTACTACTGACGCCCCTTCTCACAAGTTTCTGTGTGCCAGTGAAACAGATAGGGTATCTTGTACTACTGACGCCCCTTCTCACAAGTTTCTGTGTGCTAGTTAACAGACTGGGTATCTTGTACTACTGATGCCCCTTCTCACAAGTTTCTGTGTGCCAGTGAAACAGATAGGGTATCTTGTACTACTGACGCCCCTTCTCACAAGTTTCTGTGTGCTAGTTAACAGACTGGGTATCTTGTACTACTGACGCCCCTTCTCACAAGTTTCTGTGTGCTAGTTAACAGACTGGGTATCTTGTACTACTGACGCCCCTTCTCACAAGTTTCTGTGTGCTAGTTAACAGACTGGGTATCTTGTACTACTGATGCCCCTTCTCACAAGTTTCTGTGTGCCAGTGAAACAGATAGGGTATCTTGTACTACTGACGCCCCTTCTCACAAGTTTCTGTGTGCCAGTGAAACAGATAGGGTATCTCGTACTACTGACGCCCCTTCTCACAAGTTTCTGTGTGCTAGTTAACAGACTGGGTATCTTGTACTACTGCTGCCCCTTCTCACAAGTTTCTGTGTGCCAGTGAAACAGATAGGGTATCTTGTACTACTGACGCCCCTTCTCACAAGTTTCTGTGTGCTAGTTAACAGATTGGGTATCTTGTACTACTGACGCCCCTTCTCACAAGTTTCTGTGTGCCAGTGAAACAGATAGGGTATCTTGTACTACTGACGCCCCTTCTCACAAGTTCCTGTTTGTTGAAAATATATCTCAGCTGATATACTTTTTCTTTGGAGAAGAAAAAAGCATTATTTACTATGGGCTGAAGTCAGCTTGTAGCATATCATATCAGGAAATCATATTGTACATTTCTTCTTCCTCTGTTTCAGATTCTCCATGTCGTTTTGTTTATGTTTTATAGTAAAATATTCCATATTGTTGGAAACATTTTCCCATGATAATATGCAAGAAAAAATAAAAAAATAAAAAAAAATTTAGATCTGTAGTTTTTAAGTGAACAAAATGTGGTTTTGTACATGCAGTTGTTGTATCATAATTGTAGGTGGCATTTCAAAGGTGCACCAGTATGTTTGTGATCTAGAAATGTAAATGACGTATCACACAATATCTTGTCTGCTTGTATGTTTGTTTCATATTTGTACAATTGCTGAGGAAAATTGATGTCTCTCTAGGCTGTCATTTCAAATAAATGGCTATGTATTTTCATATTCACATTCATGATTGGAATGTAACCTTCTGTAAAGATATTTCTGTTTGTGAATGCTGCTCAATTAATTTAACAGTGTCATTTTGGTGCAATGGTTTTCTCTGTCGCAGAAAAATCGCAATTTGTATTAACTCTTCAGTTTGCTGTTTTCATGACTTCTTTCTTCCCAGTGTACACCTTTGTAATTTTGTGTGTATTTTCTGGTCCTATACTTGCTTGTTTTCAGTCAGTCAGAAAGTAGTCACACAGAAAACAGTGTATTTCCCTTTGTAAATTTAAATAATGTGCACACTGGCAGTATATTACACAATTTATTGCAATTGAAATAATAGTTGAGGTTTAAAGGATTAGTGTTTTGTTCTTTATAAAATGTTGATGTAAACTGAATTAATGCACCCGATGAGATAAAGCGAAATATTTCTGGCCGTAAATTGTGTAGTATATAGTTTGTGTCTTTATGATTTAAAGTAGATATGCTGTTGCAAAATGGTTTCCTTAAAGCCAGATAAGAACAAGCTTGAAAATGAACCACACCACATTGCCAGTTTGTGTTTGAAATATTAAAAGCCTGGCAGCCAAAGTAAAAAAAAAAACAATTGCACAAATTTAAAAAGAATGCAAATCTGAATAGTTGATGTATAGATATTTTTTATAGGCATTAAACATTCGTTAGTGGAATTAGTTACACATAAAAGGCACCCAGAAATTGTCTCAAATTATAGTGCTTTTGTGGGTGTGTGTATGTGATAATAGTTGCATCTGTTGCTTTTAACTTGAAGTTTGTTCCTGTTTGTGCCTTTGCCTACTAAGATTACTCCCTGTTAATCCAGTGTGGCTTTAAGGTGTAT